TCCCCCTCTCTCTCTCTTCCCTTTCCCCCTGCTCTCTCCAAACATCAAACATACAAGCATAACATGTGCCCTGTGAAAAAACAATAGTAGGTTTAAAAGAAAAAGTAGAAGAAGTAAGAAATCTCCTCACCCCCCCCCCCAAACCCCCAATCCTGACAAATCTTCCTAAAAACCCAAACAACACATAAAGACAAACAAAACCGGCGAGCCGGGGAATAAAAACGGACGGTGAATTCTTTTTGCTTTATTCGAACGGCCAGTCACAAATCTTTCTGCATCTGATTCCGTAATCAATCTTGCGTCATTAAAAGGCTGGCATCCTTCGTGCGCTTCCGCCACTCGTTCGATTTTGTACTGCTCTCAAACGCTGATTACGACCGTGTGTTTTCTTCTGCTCCAAAAGAGCTCAGTGCAGGGTCGATTATGTAAATTAGTACGCTTTCTATGTTGACCCTGGGACAATTGTCTTCGTCTTTGTTGGTGCTCATTTTGTTATTTTGTTTTTGCGACGTCATTAATACTGTTGTTATTGCTGTTGGCTTCTGGCGTGACGGGATTTTTTTTTGTCGTCCGTTTTTAGAACATGCAAAATAATTGTGATTATAAACCTGGTCGATTTCAGACGAAACTAATTAGAAGCAAATCGATAAAGGTTGAAATAAAGTGCGCCTTTGTGCACGGTATAATACTTGGAACAATAAAAAAAAAACCCCAACCACAAAAACGAACACCCGCCCCCCTTTTGATTTAAAAACGCAGCCTTTTCTATTATGCTTCGTGGTACTGCATTAGTTTTTGAAGCGCAAAGCTCGGGTCTACTAGCCTTGAGTGATTTTTATATATATTTCGCGTGCATTTGGAATTTTGTATGAATTTTAATTAATTTTTTTTTGGAGGGGAGGTGTTCATGTGAACCGAACGCTCTCTTCCAAAGCTGGCGTTCTCTGGTTGAAAGAGGGCTGATCCTGTGAATGAAATTGTCTCTTTTCAATGTGGCCTTGTAAAGGGTTCGGACCTTTTGAAAAAATAATGAAAAATGAGAAAGACCACAGTTCAGCCACATGGTAATTTATTGACTACGTCATGAAAGAGTGAGTGAGTGCGCGCGCGCGCGTGTGTGTGTAAGTGAGTGAGTGAGCGAGTGAGTGAGTGATTGAGAGAGAGAGAGAGAGAGA